TCTTCCTTCTCAGCACTAGGTAAGATGATAAAAGCAGTAAGACTGAGATGTTTCTAACTGCCATAAGGGAATATTGGCTATGAGTGATGAGGTAAAGACCCATGATAAAAAAATGACAGTAGAACTAAGGCAATCAGATTTCAGAAAGGCAGTATGTTTCTCATCTCAGGCAAGAGCCATTCACCAACGTCCTTTTTCCACTTACAKAAGGTCTGGATTTTATTGCTGGAAAAAGCATTTTTCCCTCCTTTGAGCTGAACTTCACATATGCATGTATTGCTCCCAGTGCCATCACTAACAGTAGCATATGCACAAAGGTTACAAAAGACTGCATGGACTATAATCTGTAACCTTGAAAAGATAAGAAAGCAAAGAGATAACATTAGCTTTTGGGATGTCATTAATATTCTCCAATGGTTTAAAAAGTAAATAAGAAAAGTAAAGAAAAAAACATGTCCTCTACTCCTACCTCCACTTCTTACTTATTTCAGGATAGTTGTTGGGTTTGATTTCTTTCTTATTATGGACTTACTTCCTTATCCTGTAAACTATGCTATTTACAGAGAGCCATTTTACAAAACAGTATTCCCAAGAGCCTTATCTGTGGTTCAGAGAAACAAACTAAGAAAAGTCTAAAAAATATATTTTCCAAATATTGGAGTTTGGTCTAAAGGGACAGTTCTTCAAGGAGAGTATTATGTATCTTTGGTATGAGCACAATTTTTATTATGAAAGAATTCTACTTTATATTCTTTCCTTGCAGAAATTCTATATGGCAAAAATATTTCCTAGAGGCACCTTTACCAGTACCTCACATCTATTGTGTTTTTAGGTACMTTCTCTCCTTATATTCTTGCACAGAACAGAGACAGCTCAAAGTCCCCCTCCAAAATATATTGAGCTACCAACCTCCTTCTAAAGAAGCAGAGAGAACGCAGGTGGAATATTGAGCACCCCAGTGCCTGGTATGTCATCACCACAGGTGCCCTAACCCATCTGCCTCAGTGATTCCCCCAAATTCTTTTGCTACACAAAAAACACAACTGTTCATTACAAGGTCACACAGCAGAACAGCTTTCTGAGCATGGTACAAACATCTAAACACCTTTGTGGATGCTGTAGTTCCCCATGCTCTGCATTTGCTTTTTCATAGAATCAATAATTGAAATCTCTTTAAAAGAGAACAAACTTCGGTTTTATGAATCTTAAAATACTTTCATCAAGTAGAGCAGTTACATAATCAAGCTACACCATTGAAAATAATCTTCCAAATTCATATGCTATCCATAAATTCAAACGATATTTCCCTTATAGTTCACTTCCCACGTCACTGAGTATCTCTCTTGTTTTCCTCATAAACACTAAATTCTCTAGGGCTTAATTTTAAAATGGGAAAAATGCATAGAAATTGGAGACTTCTAGAAAACACTGTGAATACTTTAAGTACTATTAAAGTTACTAATAAAGAGACAGCGTGTGCACATGCAAATGAAAAGGTATTTGTGATTAAAACCCAGACATACAACAAGACCTTATCTTTGGCAGATGTATTCTATCTGCTACTAACAGACACAAGGCTTTCTCTATAGTTTCACTTTAGCAATGCTTGTCAGTTTGTCACACTAGTACATTGTAAGTTGAACTTCAAGATATGGTAAGGGGAGTTTCTTCTAAAAAAAATCTTACAGAGATAATTTGTTCGTCAACCATGGTAAGAGTTGATAAGATGGCTGTGAAATTCCTGGAAACTCTGGATTACTGTGCAGCAGGATGAAAGTTAAAAGTAAAAATACTCACTGGGTATTGCATACATGAAACTGTTTGCTGGAACCTACCATGCCTATAAGCTAGTTGCTTGCAAAAGGATTATGAGTATTTCACATGTATTTCTGATTCTGGAAATGAAACACAAGTACATACAGCTTTTCTCTCTTGCTTTTATTTAGTCAACTTCTACTGAGGAATACTTAGCAATTTTGATCCTTTTGGAAACAATCTCGCCACATCTGCACCCAGCTGCACCTATTATTACTCTGAAAGCCCGAAACACACCTGAAACTAGTACAACACTAGTTCCTATAACTGCAAGAGATAGTGTGGGGCTCTATCTCATTATGAGTTACTCTAAACCATTAAATTCTATCATAGAAGTTCGTACTTAACTGAAAAAAGTAGCCACACAATCAGTTTAAGTTGCAATTTTGAGAGCTCTGTAAGTATTCTTGAGCTTTGCTGTTGGCATTATTGTCCAGCATTAGAGGAAAAATGCATCTCTATCCATATTCCCAATTTAGCTCTAAGTTAGACATTCAGAACAAGTTCAAATTGGCTCAGTACAATCTACCCTCCAAGCACATTCATTTGAATTGTTCTCTCTCAGCATCTTAGCCTTCTTTAAATCTACACAGATTAGATACTACAGGACAAGACAAAAAAACATACAAATAAGTAATGTCACACATCTGGTRTGACAATGTCACACACTGGTAAGACAAAAAATTTGTTCAAAAAAGATATCTAACCTTTGTTTTTATATGTATATATTTATACACATATGGAAAGCAACAGAGATGAGCGGACACAGCTGACTGTGCAACATATAGCGGATGCTTACAACACTGTCACYAACAATCTAATGTAATTTATTGCATATTCACATCATCTTTAAACTACATAAATCATTAGAATTGCAGTTTATTTGAGRCAACACTAAGCTTAAGGCAGGCTGCAAAACTTGATTAAGAAGCAAACTCCTGGACATCTAGGCYACAACAAATTCCAGACTGCTCAACTGCAGCCAATGTTTAATTTAGCTGGTTACAGTTGACAGATTTCCAACTTACAATACTTCAAATCCTAATTCAGCAAAAACCTCATTGAAATCTCATTGTCAAAAGCAATAAGCCTAAGTGCCAGTTTTACTTTTCAATTCATAGACAGTATCATACCACACTTTTGACAGGCCTCCCCATAGACTAGGTTGTTTTTTCTGTATTTACCTTCTTTCAACAGTCAGAAGAACTTTAGGATTTATCCTTTGTCCATRCTGTTTCTCTCTAAATACTGCTTGCTCCAAAATCAATTCTTTTGCCATTTTTGGAGACTTTTATAAGCTGATTTTTTTTTCTTTTCTCCTCAGCAACCGACTCCATTGAAATTTACTGAAGCACATCCTGCATCAAACTACACCATGAAAGAGACAAGTCTATGGCAGTGATCTAAGTAGTACTAAAACAGAACACTTTCCTAAGTCAGATAAACTGACTATGGAAATAATAAATATAAAAGTATACAAAAGGCCACTTAAATTAGTTYATATACTGATTTTTCCACATCTGTTAGAAAGGAGACTTAGAAGATGACAGTGTATAAGATAAACCGGCACAGATGAAATTAACATGGAAAAGGATATAAAAAAATCTGTCAACTGATTTCTACACTTTCAGGAAGCAACTTACTGCATTCTTATTCATCACAAACCAGCAGTTTTTTGAGATTTTGCTCATGCTTCTTCCTCCCTGGATGCACTGTCACAGTCTAGAAAATGGCTGGCCATTCTGAAACTGAAATAKATTCAAAAAATTATACAGAGTCCAGCTCATACAGAAAGCAAASAGCTTTCTTATCTGCTAAATATTCTGCTACCAGAGAAAGCAACTTGGTTCTGTGACTAACGCACTAGTCTAAAAAATCAGGCTTTGGTCCATTTCTGGTCTGCACTGTGATCTAGACTAGGTTATTTTAATAACCTGCTTGTCTTGGTTTTTCTTCCTTAGCGAAAAAACAAAAATAAAGCTTTCCTTGCAATATGCTTGAATTTAAGGGTGAAAAACTGTTGATGTTATATATAATACATACATTCTTGTCACACACAACAGTCAGCTGTACAAACAGTTTATATACATGGAATCAACAAAGGGTTCAATGAAGGAATACTAGGTAGATCTTCTCCACACAAACTCAGAACATTAGGTGACTAATAAATCATTTTTCCATACAACAAATATATCAGATTATAAATATGTTATATACATGCATATATATGCACATAATTAAAAAAATTCTGTGCAGTTTGCCTTAAACTTTTTTTAAATCAAAAGGCACCTAAGGATTTTCTAATGTCACTCTAAATCAGATATTAATATTTTATTTGAATCTAACTGATAATGATATTACTCAAGTCACTTAGAAAAACGATAATTTAATAGTGCAAAGATATTTGTCTATTCTTACTGGTAAGAAGTAGGTCAAGAAACAGTAAAACCTGTCTGGAATCAATGAAAATATAGCAACTTGATAAGGGAATAATAACAATTCCTTCAAAGCTTAGTGGCCACTGAAATGGAATACATTTGTATGAATTTCCTTACATACATCTCAAAACACCAGAATAGCCGAATTATTTATTTCACAAGAACTCATACATATAAGCATGATTGTAGAAATTTAAGATGCAATAGATTCTGATAGAGGTTTGCATATTTTTGTAATACTTACTTTCACCCGATTGCATATAAGAAAATTATTCCAGTTACAACACAGTTTATTAGAGTGCGATTTTAACAATTTTTTTTTTTTAATCTACAACCTATTTCATAACATTAAAACTTCTCAAACTTTAATCTGGAATACTGAGTTTTAAAAGGTATATCTATGGAAGATCAAAATAAGCCAAGGCTATTTTCATAAAATACTAAATGCTTAAAAAWTTTTAAATACTCAGTGTTTCTAAAATATTATGGAGCAGGTAAATTGTCATAAATTTAACACAAGTTCCTCCTAATTAAAAAACAAAAGTGGTTCTGAAAGTAAATCAATAATGTCCTAGTGCACATACCAAGAAAAAATGGGATCAAAAGTAGTAACTGATATCTTTCCTTCTGATGTTAATTACTAGTTAAAAAACTTTGCTTCAGAATAGTACCTATTCTGAAAGTGTTTGATTTTTTCTTTTTTGGGGGGGGGGGGGGGGGGGGTGTTATACAGACAAACCCTGCAAAAGAAATCATAATAATTAACTGGTTTTGAAATTGCTTGATCACTTAAAAAAATAAGAACTTAATTACTTCTTTCTGAATAAACACATTCCTGGAAAACTTCAGCTTTCATTTGGTCTCAGTTGCATGACACACACATGCAGCAGTCACATATATTATGTTACTCTACCAGCCAAGWGATTTTTTTTCTCCACCACAGTTCACATACATCTGATGATTTTAAGTAGAAATATAAATATGTGAATCAATTCTTTGGTACAGTACTGAAGTTGACAGCTTATATTATTTGGATTGACTGCATGTTCCAAGGAAAAATTAACTTCCTGATTTGTAGGGGTAGGGGAAAACTTGTCATTGTTTCAAAACCGAGTAGATTAAATTAGTGTCCCTTTATGGATTTCAAGTGTCTTCCATTTGTAATTTACTTGATGTCTTCAGTATTGATTCCATTTTCACTTGTATTATTACAGCTGAATATTTCCTGCATACAAGGTAATCATCAAGATAGCAGCAAACCCCGTTAGCAAACCAGCATTCTGTATAAGGAAGAATGTGAGATCCATCTTTCTTCCTGTCACTTTCTCTCTCAGCATATCATTCATCTCTGGGAACTAGAGGGAAAAAAAACAGTATTTTTAGGTAAGTATTGCCATCTTGTGGTAACATGTATAATTTAAAGACATAAGGAACTAAAACATATTGCTGTTCTGGCCTGAAGTGTAGATATAACAGAGGATAATGGCAGTCAAAGGACTATGTCACCTAGTTCCCCTGAAAAGCCACTTTATGAACAACAGAAAACTGAAATATGTGGTGCTCAATTCTCCTGCTGTGATAATGCCTGGTTGGAGCTCATGCAAATTTCCCCTGTCTTATTTCAGGAATCTTTTAGGGTCTAACTCCTAGCAGGTGCCCTTTTACTGCTCAAAACTGCTGCGTTTCCTTCATTGGCTGCGAAATTCTGCTTTACCAACAAAAAAAAAAAATGAAGTGAAGCTAAAATCAAGAAAAATCTTTTAAAAATAGAACATCTATTAGGCTAACTGGTTAGCATTAAAGTAAGGAAAAAATAACAAAGCTACTGTGAAACTAATGGTAACAATATATACCATCTTCTTTCAGCAAGATACACTTGAAGGGCAACACAGTAGCAATGAATCATCTACTTGTAACTGCCAAAGCAAAGATCTTTCTTCAGAGAGACAATGGCAATGGTGACAGATGAACACTGGTGATAAGGTACCCATTAACATAGGGTGATCCAGGGTATGTTTGCTGCAGATAAAGGTATAAAACTGCACTTGACATTGACAAACATACTCCAATAGCCTTTAAATTATCTTTCTGGTGTGCTAAGAGAAGTATCACCAGAACACAAAAGAGACGGTAAATTTCAGTGTCAGTTCAGAAACCTTTAGGCAGCATGACTCAGAAGCTCTATCTTTCATAAGACAAAAACAACCATTTAAGGCAATGCTATTCTCAGACTAAGTTTAATGCAAAAGTGGACAAACTTTCTCAGAAGACATTCCAGAACGCCTCTTGCGGTAACCCTCTTGCACAAGAGGAAATGACAACAACAAACCAGATCAACTTCATGCCACACAACAAGGCTCATTCATGCTCCACACCTCAGCATACAAGCTCACATGCTCACAATCTTGCCATGCAGCATTCTTACTGGCAGAGGCTGGACTGTACCTGTAGTACAGGTAGACTGTAGACTGTACTCTACCTCAAAGCAGAGAAGAGAAGGAAAGCAGAAATGGCATTCTTGTTTATCCTACCTGCTTCTGGACAGGCAGTACAGAAGTATGTTAAAATCATGAGAGAAAACAGAAAAACAGATCTTTATACAGAGTAATGCAAAAGCTACTTCAGATTTTTAGAGGGAGAAATGTCAGAGAAGTGCTAAAATCCAAATCCTAAAAAAAAAAAAAAAAAGGAGGCAGACAAATATGGAAAGAGAGTAGAGAACAGAAAATACAAAGTAAAAAGTCTTATGTATTTTAAAGCATTTAATAACAATTTAAGCTGAGCCATTCTAAATTTATGCCCCAAGTTTTATACATTGTTTCTAAGAGCGCTACTATTCATAATATAAGGGTAAATAACTGAAAAGCACTAGCAATAAGGTACTCCAACAGTTTCCTTGTAAAGGAAGCTATTTGTGTGTTTTCATTCAACACTAAAAAGAGTACTCAAGAATTCTGGATTACTTCTGTATTATCACCCAAAATATAACACAAAGTAGTATAATAGTTATTTTGCAACCGTACACAGTTCTTAACTGTACAGAGTCAAAYGGAGTTTGACTCCCTTCAAAACACACTAATATGACTAACATAAGTCATGCAATCAAAGGCTTTCATTAAGGTTATAATTGACAATTTAGCATCTAATAATAAGACGACACTGGTAGAAAATGAACAAATTACTAAATTCCACTGCAGAAATTGCTACTGCAGATACTATGGAATAGGAACTAATAGATAACTGAAAATGAAATTGTTTCTCACCATATCTGCCAGAGAGATATACAGGAACATTCCACCAGCTACAGCAAAGATGATGTTAGGAGCAAAGTTGTTGCCTACTAATATACCAAAAGCCATCCCAATGTAACAGGAGCATGCAGACAGGAAGTTGAAAAACAGAGCCTGCCGAGTACTCATCCCTGCATTAAGCAAGATGACAAAGTCTCCTAAAAAAAGGAAAACAGCAAATGATACTTTATTTTTTTTACTTTACAGAATGTCTGAAGAAACACATGTAAATAGTACACAAGTTATAATCCACAACCATTTCTCTTCATTCAAATACCTGAAGAGTGTTTTCCCTCAGCACTCAGTTAATTGAAATATTCTAACATAAGCAGATGATACACAACAATGCTAAGATGCTACTAATAACAGGTAAAGTAAAAAACAAAAAGACAACAGGGTAACACATGCTCTTTCACTCACCTCAAACTTCTTGTGCTAGCTGTGTATTTTTGTGTTCAGTTTGATTAATATTTTTCCATCAATTAGTATAAACATTCTTACTATTTATGCCAACTTTGACAACCACAAACTCCTGTAACAGCTATTTTCAGTTAACATACTGAATGTAGTTCCTTACCCAGTTCATGAGGAAACTCCTCACATAAGATAGCTATAGAGGTACTAAGTCCTTGAAAAAGGGACAAAGTAAAAGAAGCACCAATAGCTAAACCATCTATGAAGTTATGCACAGCATCACTCAGAGTTATCATCCAAGCAATTGTTCCAATCTTTGACAGGGGTTGCCCCTTCAGACATTTACACAAGCTGCCTGGAGTTTCTTCTTCCTGAAGAAATAACACAACGCACAATTAGCCAAAACATTAAGCTACAAGAAAGAGGTCAAGGAATACTCCCCTTGCTTTACATGAATGCAGCATATAAAATAAAGCTGTTAACAGAAACCAAAATTTTCGATTCAATAAGCAAAAGGAACAGACAATGAAAATGCACTTGTTACGTCAAGCTAACACACAGTCCCCAATTCCACTTCATCTGACACACAAAACAATTGAGATCATAGGTGGTCTGAACATCTCTGTGGCCCCATCTCTCAGATTATAGAGCATGCCAAGGATCCATATGGCTCCCTAACACCTCCTCAGCCACCTCTATTAAAACTGTACACTGGGAAGGGTCTAGATCAGGTGGCCAACAACACCTATATTTCCTATATGAAGTAGATCTCAACCAAGAAACTACTGCTGTTACCTCATGTTCTCAGATATAAACTTAAATATTGCAGTGACAGTTACCCACATAGAATTCTAGACACACACTTAGGTACACCATAAATTTTATTTCTAATTCTGGCCGATGTTAGTCAAGGTCAACTATTCAAATCACATTCTACAAAGTATACATTCAATATGAATCGCAAAAGGTAATTCTGACTGTGTTAGTTGAAGACTCAAGAGCATAAAAGCAACAGTCTATTTTAAAACTTTAATGTACATGCACACCAGACCTCTCAGTAATTTCTTCCAGCAGTGGAAATAGTTTTTACATCTGGTACTATCAAGTAATGAAAAACTTCAAGTAGATTAAAGGAACTATCATTTTAGTCAGGAGTGCAAACTAATCTCCTTTAAAAAATCCTGAGGATCCATTTTTATCATTTCTTTAATTTCTGTATACAGCAGCTACATTGTAAGTACTACACCATTTGACTTTGCATATAAGGAATTAACTAGTGCTTAAAATTGGGAAGTGTAAGTTTACATATCTGTGCAACTGCACATCTACACGTTTAAGCACCTCTCTCATAGTGAAGCCCTTCTTGGCAATGAATAGATAAATTCCTTTAATTACAACAGGATCATAAATATTATTCCAATAATTTTTCCTTAATTATTAAARAACATTTCACATTGATTTAGTTTTGCCATACCAAATGTAAATGCTACCAGACAATTAAGCTTTATGAGCTTAGCAAATCAAAATATATAATAAATGATTATAAAATCTTTACCGCAGTAATCAGGTCTGCCATTTTGCAGACCAGGCTTTTATCTGACATACTACATTTGTCTAAGCTGGAGCTGCCTTGTAACAGGACAATAGTTCAGGTCAGGGATTTCTGAGTCAGATATCTAACATAATATCTGGAACTAGTAGTTAATAAAATCTTCATAGATCAGTTCTGTTACCACCATAAAGCACAGTTATAGCTTCTGTTGAGAATTAAAAATGCTGAAATTATACTTTTATAAAGCAAAATGGCATCCAAAAGTTATGGGATACCTGCTGATTCAGATACATTGGTTTTAGTTGTAATATATGTCTTCCTGTTTCAGTTCTTGTACGGTTCACGCTCACAACCTATCTAATATACAGGAGGTAACAGTTTTGGGGTTCCAGTGCAAAGTGACAGGTAATTTGTACCTTATGTACAAATGTRTGTATTTGTACCTTATGTACAGTGTATGTAATTTGTAGATACACTGTTTGAGATGACTTCTCAATCTCTCCTCCCTTAATTCACAGATGCAACTTCATTTTATCTCAAGAAAGAAATATTATAAATCAGGGCATGGAAAGATATGTATTAATATAAAAAAAGAAACATGTTATGATAAACCTCAAAAACAATTAGCCGACCTCTTCCATCTATTTCACCAGCAATTTGAGCTGAAGCTCTGTTATCTGATAACCTTCCTCCAAAATGCCTAAAAACTGATTCAAGTAACATTTCCTAGATAGCTCTGGATCTGCCAAAAGCACATCCTCTCTCATGGGTATATTTTAAACTTCTCTAAGCAAAGTAAGCTGGGGCAACATAGATTTTCATTTTGGATAATTCATATTATTCTCTACCAAAGACAAACTTTATTCTTTTTAGAAAGAACAGAAAACAACTATAACTACTTTTTGATAAAGCACCAGCATTAAATTCAGAGCACTGTATTTCCAGAATGCCTACTAGCAAAAATTCTACTACACATAAAAAACAGATAGGTGGAGGTTTTGTGCTGTAAAACCTTTGTTGCCAAAGGTAAAAAAAATCCCCCAACAAATACCAAGTATCTGTGAAAGAAAATGTTTTATGGGAAGACTTTACTAGGCTGAAAATTCCTTAAGTAACAATGGAAACAGTGAACAAGATAAATGCAAAGAAATATCACTTGCACATGTGTACCTATCACTGCAGTTTTTGTTTGTGAATCCTGTGCATGTCTATGATAACCGTAGGGGTATAAATTAACTTATTCACAGAAGTAAAAGGGGTCATTTCTTGTATTTGTGTTACAAAAGGGAGAATTCCAATAAAATTCCAGAGCATTCGATATGCATGAAAAGAAAAATTTGACCTCATAGTTTTTGTTGAAATAATTTATGAATAATAACCAGGATTATGCTCTTCACACAGGACAAGAAGTTTCAAGATCAGGAAAATAAAAAATGCTATTGAGAATTATCTGTTGAACAGATCATGAATGGGATAAACTCTAGAAATCTTGAGATTTCCTGAGATTTCTCGAGAAGCTTCTCGTGGAGCTTCTCGAGAGGGTTTAGAGAAGAGCAACTAAGATGATTAAGGGAATGGAACATCTCTCGTACGAGGAGAGGCTGAGTGAGCTGGGCCTGTTTTCTCTGGAGAAGAGAAGGCTCAGAGGGGATATGATTAATATGTATAAGTTCAGGAAGGGAGAATGCAGGGAGGAAGGGGACAGGCTGTTTTCACTGGTGGCCAGTGATAGGACGAAGGGTAATGGCCACAAGCTGGAGCACAGGAAGTGCCGTCTCCAGGTGAGGAGCAACTTCTTTACTGTKAGGGTGACAGAGCAGTGGAACAGGCTGCCCAGGGAGGTTGTGGAGTCTCCTTCTCTGGAGGTCTTCAAAACCCGCCTGGATGCCACCCTGTGCCACATGTTCTAGGTCTGCCTGCTTGAGCAGGAAGGTTGGACTAGGTGATCTCTAGAGGTCCTTTCCAACCTTGAATATTCTGTGATTCTGTGATGCTGTGAGATCCAGAATTTGGGACTGCTTTGTCTGGGGAATTTCTGAAGTAATGACCATTGCAATTAATTTAGGAAAACAGTATTTATTTACTTCTAAAAATGACCTCTTTAATTCAATCTTTCAAAATACAGAGACAATTGTAGCTTTAAAATTAGGAATAAGATTGAAAAGTCTCTGTATGTTACTTTCTCCCTGCAATTAACTGGTTAGCTTTGAAGTACAGTAATTCTTGCCGGTAATCTATTTTAGATAATGTTTCAACTTCTTGTAAATCATATAAACTCCAAAGACATTGCTCTTCCAGGTTTACATGATGATCTTTACTAGATTACAGATTCCACAAAAGCAGACGTATGCCTCTAATACATATTCTTCATGTCAAGATAAGGAAGAATCAGAACAAATTTACCTTACAAATATTTAAGATTTCAAAGCAAAAATGAACACTCCTCTCTGGCAAACTGTTCCCACTTTGTCATGGTACTTCAGCTTTTGCTTTCCTGATTTTTTTTTTTTTTTTTTTTTTTTCTTCAAACAATGGCCAAGCCTTACGAAGTAAAGGTCCAGAGACTACCCTGTTTTATCCTGTGGTATCTCATCAGGTTACTACTGCTACATCCAGTACATCTGCAAATCTTACAGTCATGGACCAGGACCCAATTCTGTTACAAGTTTTGTAGAGAAGAGTCCAGATTCTGCAGATCAGTAATTGCCAGGAAAAAGAAAACCCCCAAAGCTCAAATGAGTTAAAAGCTAAAAGTTTACAAAAAAACAGTGGTAGTAGAAATTGGCTTTAATCTCTCCCTGGGCATACTTATATAATTAGTGGGAATAAAGAAAAAGGAACTGATTATTTTCATACCTGTGCTGAGACCACACTAATGCTGTCGAAACCAGGATTTCCATTGCTTTCTACGACAGCTGAATTTGCATAACACATCACCCCATTGATGGATGCTGGTGGTTTGGCCGGACTAGTCTTATCCTGAGGATGATTCTGTTCACCATTTTCAAAGTCATGGTGACCAGTCTAAGTGGAAAACACATAAATTGGCAGTGAATTAAACAAAAGCAAGCTTATGCATAAGAAAATCAAAGGGTAGGAAAAAACAGGTGACATAGTAGACATACTGTTCTTTCCACACTTGGCAAATGCTTAAATAAATACTCCACACAGCCTGAAATCTGAACTTATCTAACCTCTAAATTTACCTCTAAATTTTCATCATTTATATTCTCATTAACTAAAAGAGAAGAGTGTGGGTTTTTTTCCTTCTTATAATTGAGTGTCTGACCACGAGTGATCCAAACATTTTCTAGTTATTCATAATGTAAAGCAGGAATGCCAGAGCGTGGAGGAAAACAGACCTAAATGAGAGATTCAAGCACTGCCAGCACAGCCTAATTACACTTTACAGACTAAGAAGGTATRTGTGTCACACATTTCTCCTGTTTAAGGAAGGGAGCAAAACTTCATTCTCTCCAACTTTTTGCATTTCTGCTTCTTCCTGACATGTTTAGCTAGAAAGATAAAGATTTAGCCCTTGAGACAGCTAAATGATGTCAGCAACAGAAGACTGCACTCACAACATCTGGATCCTACTCCTGGTCTGTTAGCAAATGTCTTAGAAAAACTGAAAAAAATTGCTTCCCTTCACATATGTTCCCTAAACATACTTTGGAACACTTCTGAAAAGCTAAAATCATCAAATACAACAGAAAACTCTACATTTTAGTAAGCCAGCTATTTCTGAAAATATGATAGCTACTTTAAGGTGAGGCTCATACAGTTAGGAACACCTTTTGTTACCTGATTATAGATCTTCAGTATCACTTTAAGAATCCTTTCCACAAAGAAAAGAATATAGAATCCACCAAACACCGCGACTGCTTTTTCAATGTAGTTATCTACTTTGGGGTCAAACCCAAATGCCTACCAGTGAAGATAAAAACAACGCATGTTAGTCAATAACCTTAGTACCCTAAAGGAGAAACAAACAATCCTCCACTACTTTAAAATACAGATTRCATCCTTACCACTTGTGAGTTTCAACGGTCTGAAATTATCAAAGGTTCTGATACTCTTAAGATTTTAAGATTTGGAATCCATGTCAAATATATTTTAAATATAGTACAAATTTACATGCAATTAATTTCAAAAGAAGGAGGTCTAACCTATTGCCCACTCAAGTCCACTGGAATCTTACCCAAATTATATCTCTCCTTGACTAGAAGCAAAATAACTCTCACTTTTTCTTGCTACAACTACATACAGTTATTGACAGCTCTGCTCATCCGATCAGATGGAAAGTACGGGCCAACTGCACTGAAGGCTATTGGCAACTCTTGGCTTACTGCGACCAAACTGAAAACCCCACTGCAGAATACATCTAACTAACGCTTCAGAAATTAGTATGAAAAGCAAATAACAATTCTCCATGCTTACCTCTGGAATAAGCTGAAAAATGGCATTAGAAAATAGAGTGCCAATGGCTAAGCCCACAAAGTAAGTTAAAATCTTAGGGAAATACGACTTCTTTAGGAGGGGAGTTAAGATCAATCCCAGAAGTGATGCCAGGTTAATCAGAGTCACAGCCAGAAACCCAAATCCCCAAACTGTGAATGAACAAGCAGAAAAAAACATTTTAGTACAATCTCTACTTCAGGATGCTTTTTCTAATAGTTCATGAAACTATGAAAAAAATATTTTCCTACCTAAAAATTAAACTTTAGGATAAAAACCTTAGAATACACAGATATTTAAGATAAATATCCACTAACAACAGGAAATAAAAAGCTAGAAATATTATCTGGACTTCCACATTAAAAAGAATAAACAAAGAAAAAGAATTTAAGAAGTTGTTATCCAGTAAGTACACAATTACAGGAACTGGTACTTCAAGAAAAATATCGTAAACTGCAAAACAAGTTAGAAAACTATGAGATACTGATGGTATCAAAGTTACAGCATTACATACTGCATTACACTGTCATGTATGCATCGCTCTCCTAAAAATGGTTTTATTTACTCAGATGTCATCCAGATTAAATTCTTCCCGAGTGGTTAGTCTGATTTCATGTATCAGAGCATTCTGCTTAGGACAAACAAGTCTCTTCCACAATTACTGGTGGCACAGACAGCTTTAGCCAGCTACTATTATTCTTTCTATCCCTAGAAAAGTTGCCCTAACAAGAACTCCAAGGTGCTCTGCTCTCGGCCTTCCTGACAAAACTGCTGCTCTGGTCTTCCTGAGGCAGACTCCTCCTGAGTCTAATCCTGAGATCAGGAGGAATTTCAAGTGTTAAAACATTTTTGTCTTGGATAGAAGGACTATCACTAGGCCTTAGAAGCTCTCCAATCCATAGTTTTCAGAGAAGCAAGAAAGGGAAGGGCATGAGCATGTCCCTAATGTCAGCTAGTTTATATATTAATTCTATAAAGACCAAGGAAAATAGACATTTTCTATACTGTCTTTTAACTTTTATTCTTTTTATGCAACATTTTATCTTCTATTATTCAGGTAGCTATAAAACCTATTATACTCATTTGCTCTGTCCATCTTCATCATTCATATTTTCAACGTCAAGATATTAAGGGCAAAAAATTCACATAAGCACTGCTGGAAATATGGAAAGATGATTTCGAATCACAGGGTCAAAAATTCATATAAGGTGGTATCAATGATGCCAAAGTACAGATTTGTTTTGTGAAGGGGTGAGGAAGGATAAGTAGAGGTATGTCTCTGCATTAGAGGATCTTTCTGTGGATCTCTCCTCAAACTAGGTCCCACTACATATTACAGACTCTTATTTTAAACTCTACAGTTTAAAACATTCCAACTAGGGCCTCACAGATTTCCTGCTGTGCATCAAGGGAGAGGCAAAGAGAAGGCTGCCTTGCTTATCTGGCTACCGGACATTGCTTCTGAGCTGGAAAGATAAAAGAAAAACAGGAGGGATGGTCTAAACAGCGTAAGAGATCAACTATATATTAGAATTTCCATGAACAACCTACTTAGTCAAAAAAAAAAAGAGACAGATCTGACACTTCCATACAGATGTTGGGGTCTTCTGGCCCTTTTGACCATGTGACCTCACATGTTGTAAGCAGTCAAATTGGTCATAGTAAATAAAGTCAAGCAAGTAGGCTATTGCACATCTGCAACAAGTGATTTCATTAACCATATGTTTCTTCCTGATCCTTTATTTTACTGAACTATACATTTCTGCAGAAAGTAAATATAGAAATAACCCTGAGAAAAAAAGCAGAAGATTAAAGAAGCTGCTGAGCTGTACAAAATGTTCCATACAGATAGTGGAATATGGAAAATGACAGCAAGGCAAGAGCAAGAGTTTGGAAGAAATGTATTTTCCTCAGTAAAACAGTCTGTCTCCCTTGTTTCCCTGAATACCATCTGCAAGTAATTCCACCCTAACTTAGTCTCTGGTAACTTGATTTTGAGACACTGAGATGCGGGCACATCCTGCTAAGGCTTTTTCCTCTGAAAACCATTTGCACAGACTTCCCTTACATACTTATATTCTTTGTTCTATTAGTCAGCTATTAGCGAGAGTCTTCAAGCCTCAGGGCAAAAACCATTATCCAGCAAAGATCATTACAACTCTGCCTTCTATTAGCAAATTACTCCACAGCATCTTACTGGAGGATTCTTTTGCTGTCTCTCCAGTGCTGTGTCTCAAGTGTTTTGAATAGATCATCGTCAAAGGCAGGACATATGATTAGATAGTCCATTCATCTGAAAAGCCCCAACAATTTTATGCTTCCACTTTACAATTACATTCTTAAAATAATTTCTGTTATCTATATGCTCACAGTTCCCTCGAGGAAACCCTATTCTAGTACCAATATTAATGAAATAATATTAACTAACCTTGAAAAGATTGTGGTTTAGACGTATCCACAGAGTCTTCCTGATGATCACATGGATGAAAAATGAGCTGTTGCAAAACAGCAGGACATATTGTGGAGAAATTTGAATTTGATACTAGACTGTTGTTCGGTATCCCATGCAGAGAAAAGATCTCCTCACCAGTCAAACACTGGAACAAAAAAGTATTTTCTCTGTTTAATATAATAATGCAAAGAAATGGAACAACAACAAGCAAGCAAATAACTCCAGCWCCATGATCTTAATATGTGTTAACTCATATTTTAAATAACTCATTAACTTCAAGAAGCATATCCATAGTTTATATGGTGGATCGAGCAGTACCCAACTTTCATAATGCTAAGTGAAAAGAATGCAGAAGTATCTTAAGTAGGATAAGTTGACAAATCAGTGAAATATGTTTTAAACTGACATTTGAGAATCTTATACCATACATGCTTATACCATAGTCAAATCTCACAATACATTTAGAAAAACAGCTTCACAATAAAGTCACATGTAACTACAAAATAATTAAATATAAGAGGGAAGATACATTCAAAAATCAATGACCAAGTAGGGGAAAAAATAATTGGAAATTCAGCAACTGTTTATTCACAGAAGTGACGGCTTTACTTCATACCTCTGCTTCATGTTTACTTCCTCAAACTAGCCTGTTCCAGAATGGTCTGAATGATGGCTACATTCAGTGTTTTTAATTAACTTTATAGCAATAACTTCTAAAAAAAACATTACCTTGCAAAATCATGACATATTCCCAAGAGATACACTCATAATTTGGATCTTCATTTTCAAAGAATAGTACCTATGGTCAAGGAAAAAGGTACTTGCCACAAAAGGCCCGGGCTGGTTGTTCTTAATTATTCTCATCCAAAAAGATAAAGATATTCCACACTATACCATCTTAAGTCTTTAAGTTCCATCTATATATCAGGAAGAACTACCTTACTGTGAGGGTGACAGAGCCCTGGCACAGGCTGCCTGGAGAGGTTGTAAAGCCTTAAAAGGTAAACAAAATAGTCACTCACTGCTCTTTTCGATTCTGCTGTTATCAGATTCCACAGGTCTTCTATACTAGTATATTAGGATTAGTATTTTACAAAAATATGACAACATCCTATATTATCTAGTGGGTTTGTAATGGGAAAATGCATTCTAGCAAATTTTGATAATTTTTTCAAAATGCTAGATGACTATGTAATAAGTACGAGATCAGACTACATACAGAAAATATTAATCAATCACAGTAGGTATTAAGTAAGCTTGAGGGTGTTAACTTTGGATAGAGACAAACAAATAAGCAAAAAATACCATTGAACAAGAGCACTTTTAGGTGAGGACAAGAAACAGCATTTTATTTCATTACTACTATTATTTTGATCAGGAATAGTCACTTCACCTTCTCAGCAACTCCTACATGCCTCCATGAGCTAAAACAACCTTGCATGGGTTCATTTGCACAATTAAAGGATTAATTAGAAGATTTAATCTTCTGGAATATTGCATCGGAGCAACCCATGTCACACCCTGCAAAACTCCGTATTTATCTTTGAGCAATAAGTATATTATGACAACCACACTGCTGTAAAAATATAAGCTGTTTATTTTGCAGTAAAAATATAAGCTGTTTATTTTGCAGGACAGACAACTGATCTCAGCAGAAAGGCCATTTAGCTTCATGGAACAGGGGATCGAGATGGACCTCCTGGGTCAACAAATCTGCCATCACGCCTGCTACTTGGTTAGCCTTCTCACAGTGCTCAGGTGAGTGGACTGCCTCTAGCAGGCCTCTGCCCTACCAGCTAATGCACATTTGCAAAGATGTGATGTAACTGATCATGTCCCTACATTGTGTAAAAGTCATTAAAAATGACCGGAAGAGTGGGAGACTTCAATCATCTGAATTTACACAGTGCTCAAATTAAAAGACACACACAGGCACACACGAAGTAAACATGAAATGTTACTCATAATCAGATGTTTACTTTCTTTGTGGTAAGCTACTGCCAAAAATGATCGATTAGTACGAGATTAAGAAAGTAAATGAAATCAAGTGATACTCAACTCAATCTCTTTATAGACACATTTATAAACACATATTAAAAGCACACTTTGCCTCACTACATTCAATTAAATGATGCAATAATTGTTCAGACAACAGTAAGACAAAGATACTTATGACAAGAAACGAGCACAATTGGTTAAACTATCAAAAATCTACACTTCACATCTAATGCTTCATTCCTCATTCTTATCTTTTCATATTCTTATCTTTGTTCCATCTTGATTTATATGTAGTGCCATAGATGTGAAGTGCTAATACCTTATCCTACAAGCTGTTCCTGGCAACACTGCAGTGTCTAGATGTTACCATATACAMTACTTGTCTATCCCACAGAACGGCTGAAGAGAACTGAGGACACAGAGTAGCAAAACAGTGCATACCTGTCTGAATCATGTTTTTAACTTAAACTGAAATTGGATACAGCAGAATAGACACAAACAAGTTGCAGGTCTTCCAAAACTTATTACTAACAAATTAAAGCATTTAATGCTGACAAAGCTACTCAGCACAGGTGAGAATTGGGAGACATCCACACAGAAATCTTCAGTAAAACTCCTCCTGGTGGAGAAAAAGCCCCAAACCAAATGCAGCTGCCTGAGCACATTTATCAATTATAATATTATATTTTAATGCCTGAGCATTTAAGTTGGTGATTTGGCTCACAGCTGACATAGCCCAAGCAACTGTTCATGTTGGGAGCTGAAAGTTGTCCACAAACACTGATATTTGCAGAGATATTCTAGAAACAAGAATAAAAGAGAGCACAAGAGCCCAATTATCTTCTTACTGGCCCAGCAACTTGCGAGCATGTTTTTAGATCGAGACAGTAACTTCGGTGCTCTGTCAAGACCTTCAKGCTTCCTTAAAGGAGCAAAAATTGGAGTTAGCAAAAGGCTACAAAAGGCAGAATCAAAGCAGGTACTACTCTAGTTCTACTCTGTCCAAGCCAGCAGCTACAGTTTTGACTCACCTCTGGGTCAAAGTTGCCTCTAAAGATACCTAACCAGCAATATTAAAGATTTTAATTGCATTTTGTCCAAGTTTTGCTTAAATAAATTATATTCAAGAGAAACTATTTTGTCATAACACAAGAGAATAGTGCATATAGCTTTCTTATAAAAGTCAAAGAAATCAGAGTACGAAATTAACAGCAACTCATTATTCCAAGGCCTAAAGGTGTCACTTAAGTTTGATTTCTAATGCTATTTATCTTCAAATAATTATTTGATAAAAACTGCTAAACATCCTCTAGCATACACGTGTATAACTATCATACCACAACAAGCACACAAAGGTCACATGTAGTTCTGTGGCTTTACATCTTGTTAAAACATCTAGCGAGTAAACACATCACTATTAAACTGAAATTGCAATTTTTATTCCCGATAGGAAAAAATATGTAGGAATTTCATGGTAAAACGTGGAAAAAAAAGTGCAGTGAAAGGTATCTGAGTCTGCTCAGTTATTATTTACTCCTGCGGTAAGCCTTAGTTTATATATTAAGATGGTAATTCAAATAGGACAACAAAAATTCAAATAAAAATACATTTATAATGTAATAAATTACATTATAAATTACATTATAAAAACAAACAAAAGGAAAAGAGAACAAAAGCAACAGAAAATAGAGATAGTTAAAATTTCCCAAAGTGCACAAAATACTTTGTAAATCTTTTTGCATATCTTTGGAAAAAGAAGGGTCTTCATGGACATCATATGATGTAAGTTAACATAACTGTTTACAAATTTCACACAAGCGTATGTTCAAAAACTATCATCCACAAAATAAAGTACTTCTTATTCTACTCTTTCAAGTCAACCTGTTATCAATACAAAAGTGAAATCTAGGATTCTTTTGACAGAGCAGGAGTCTATTAATCTTTGTTGGGAAAAGGAGTGGAATCATCCCGCTAGCTATGGACACAGCATTACAAACTCAAAATGTATGACAGCTCTTCTCTCTTCCTACAATCAGATACTTACATGGTTTGAGTGGATGATTCAGTGTACCTGAGCAAGTCCTGAATCATTCTCCAGAGATATTTTCTTTCCTAGAGTACTGGTAGAGTTTAGGCCTCCAGTACCTTACAACACTCAAAGTTGAATTACACCACTTCCATGTCTTATCACAAATAGAAAATGCTTTAAATTATACGGACAAAGATCTACAGTATTTTAAGTGATAACATGCACCACGGGCAAATGCCTGCAATTTTTGATGCAAGTACGTATTTGAGGACAGCATTCGCCCAAAATCATTGGTATGCCATATATGAGAGATCAATACCCAAGAGCAGCTAGTGAGTGCCTAAACATTAGCTGAGCGGGCCACAAGACCAATTAAGAAATTCAATTTCCCAACTTCCCAACCAAAAATACACATTTCAGTATGGTACCTCACAGTTTTCAAAAAGGACAACCAGACCAGATCTGTAAAAACATTTAAGCATTTCAGTTAAATTTCAAATGACGTAAAAGGTATATGCCTTATAGTAGTAAAGTAAGTGTAGTAAGCAGTAAAAAGAGGCATCACTTTTTTTTCCTGTAGCCTATGCCAAAGTCTGTGTACGAGGGCTACGTGTTTTTGTGGGGCTAAACGACTGAGGATTCSTGTCCTCTCCACACCCATTTAAAGAAAGCCTCTTTTCATAACCATATTAAACATTGCAAACTTGTATTTAGTGCATGCAGCTGGGAATGTTTTTTAAGAAAAAAAACAACATACTGTGTGTTTTAACAGTGTAACAGTGTTCAATTTGTGAGATGTGGAATAGAAGTAGCAACTGGCAAATATTGACATGCTTACAGTGAATGTTATGTTGATCTTAGTGGCATTAACTCCAAGCTAAACTTCTGCTTAGGATAAAAACATCAGAATTGCACTCTAAGACAAACGAAGGCTGCAGACTTTCCAAGGCTTGTCTACACTACAGACTAAAAAAGAAAAAAAAAAAAAAAGACCCAAATATACAAAAGTCCTCCCAAGGTTTCTAGAAATAGCATAGCTCTGCTCTATCATAAGGAGTTAAAATCAAAAATAATCAAGAACTTATCCTTGTTTCCCCTTCATTTGAATGATCAGCTTA